CCTGCATCTTGTCCACGTTTCATATAACCCCATTTTACTAGCGCAATGCCTAAGCAAAGGTAGGTGGTGGAAAGCAACCTGAGCTCAGCACCAGAAGTTAGAGATCCTCCTCTCCTATTACTTTCCACTGCTGCTCAGTTCCTCGTTCTAAGAACAAATTTCACTGAAGCTTTTCTTTGTTTTTGCCCTATATGCTTCATTGGTTGCAGGAAAGCAAAGGGAAGGATGCAGCTTCATATTTCACCAAGCCTGAGGCATGTGACTGTGCTTCCTGGGAAGGGAGTGAGGGAGTTTATTAAGGTGAAGGTGGCATCGAGGAAGCTCTCTTACAGGATGGTGTTCTATTTTCTGCTGTTCCTGACCTTCATGCTTCGGTTCGTGTTCGTCTTGACGGCAATGGAGACGATTGAAGGTGAAAATGAGTGCTCCTCCTTAGGTATGGGGAATGCTGTTATGTATGATTTCATTTATGTTTTGATGTTTGAACCTCCAATTGTACAGGAAGAAGGAAGAGCATAGTACATCATAAAATAGACATAAAAGTATACCCAATGCACATTTTTTTTATATATTATATTTATATAGGAGAACACTAAAAACAATGGGTTAATACCATATTTTTTAATTAAATGTAATATGAAATAATATTAAGAATATGTTGTAAAAAATACTTAATCAACACATATAATAATATTTCAAAAATATTAAAAAGATATTAGGAATTTCAAAGTCATATTTGCATTGAAATTAAGGCTTCATTTGAAATTATTTTCTTACTATTTTTTAAAGTAAATTTTAAGTACAAAAATTGTAATTTTAAACTAAAATTTATTTAAGAAGTGGTAAAAAAACTGTTTCAAATGAAGCATAATTATATTAATCTCAATAAAAATCAGATAATTTTGAAAATTAAATCTCAATATAAATCAGATAATTTTGAAGATTAACAAAATGTTCTAATATAATTTTATTTCTAATTATTCTACTTGATCACTGATTCAACAAGATTTTAATTTGCAAAATAAAGCCAGTAAGACATTATGCATGGAGTAAAATATTTTAAGATATCCATTCCAAATGTACAAGCAAAAGAATTGCTTTGGTTGGAAATCATAAAGGAACTAAAGACCTCCAGTTCTACCTAAATATTGGTGGACAAAGGCAGCTTTAATGTCATTGTTGGAAAAAAAAAATGTTGCAGTTGTTGAAGGTGGAGCCATAGATATTTTTTTAATAAGAGTACATAAATTATTTTAATTTTTTATGGGGCACTTAAATCATATTTATTTAAAAAAAATTAGATAATAATAATTTATTAACATATCATATATATATAATTGAATTTCCTCATAAAAATAAGGCAAGAAATAATTTTAAGGTAGGTGTATGTGGGGGTCATTAAGGTAGACAGTAAGCTTCAACATTGAAAAAAAAATGAAAATCAGCATTTATAATAATAATAATTAATAAGTAATTTAATAATTTATTAAATTATTCTTTTGAAATTGTGATAGTTTAAAAACTACCTTATGAGCAGTCAATTTCGGTAGATGTAATCGAATATTTGATTGTAAAATGGAATTTTAAGCAATTTTATAATATAAAATATTAAACCTTCAAAACTTCTAATATTTATTAATAATTTAATTTATATTTTAAAGAACAAATGTCTATCATAAAATTACATTCCGTTTTTCCCTGTGATAGATGGTGTTTCTGGAAAAAGGCTTGGGGACCCAGAAATATTTTTGGAAGATAAATCTATGGAAGGACCTATCGGGGTACTTTGCGAGGATCAATAAAAATTACCTAAAATTTATTTTCTTATATCAATCTAATATTTAATCGTTTAATGAAATATTCTTCATAATAGATTATTTATACTTTAGTGCTCGTCATGAAGGTTCCAGAAGAAAATATACCGAAAATTCTAGAGAATCTGAGGTCAAGAGAATCCACGGTTGGCTCTGATGCTCCAGATTCTTGGAGGAGTTCACTTGCAGAAATGTAGAAGCAGTATAAAGTCTGATGCAAGACCTTTGCATTAAGCTCAAGGCAGATGGTAATTCTTTCTTCATTAAAATAATAATTAACTAATATATCATAGAAACTTAGGAATTCATTTGAGATGAGCGATTATAAGAAAGTGAGGTTGGCTAAAGATTATTATTAAATTAAAATATTTTTTAAAATTATTATTGAATAAGAGGGCAGCACTTCATAATTAATAATATGATATTATATAAGAAGGTAAGATTAAAAATATTTGGCCAAATAAAAAAAAATAATTGATTTGAACTTTAAACATTGAAGCGGTAAAAATTTGTCTTCAAATGAATCATTAAACAAGTTATATTTACTGGAATGGTTCAAGAAAAATAAATTATTATGATATTGTAAAGCAGGGAATGAAGAATCAGTCTTAAATTTTCAAGGGGGCAAATTTATAATTAACTATCAAGAGTTTAAGAGAGACAGATCTCTATGGCAGAGTTTTTTTTTATAGGGGTGGGGGGCAATTCTCTCCCTTGAGTTCAAGGGGGATCTGCCCCTGCTGTTTAGAATTATTATTGACCCCTTGAGTTCAAAGGGAATCGATCCGCCCTGCTCGTAAAATTATAGTAGAAAATAATTTCGATAAAAGGTACAATATGAGGCTGAGGGCATATGTTTTCATGGATTTGTAATATATTTATATATATAACTTTTAATGGCACTTATAACTTCAATGAAGCACTAAATAATTTGTAATCATCTATTAAATTTGAATAAAGTTATAAGGTGTGATTTAATATATAGAAGTTAATAATTATAAAATATATCTAGTGATTTAGATATCGTATAATAATTAAAAAAAATTAACTTTGAATTAAAGAAATAGTAAGGATACATAACAGTAACAGCCATAATATATATTATGTACGTTTTATGTTTAATATTCTAATATGTAGTTGAATTTATGTAGTAACTGAAAGTTCTTATATTGATATATGAGTAAAAAGTATATTCACTATTAAATTTATTAAAATTAAATATATTCTTTAATTTGATTGAAATATTAAAATATTATGTAAATAAGTATAAAATTTTAATATTAGATTTATAAATATATAAAAAATTGTGTGATATTTTTTTTTTAAATCCCAAAAATTCCCTTTATAATATAGTATATTCATGCGAGCTGGATCAAACAGGTCACCCTTCTGGAGCAGAAGACCCGGATCGCCAAAATCCAAGAGTTTCTTTACCGCCACGTGGCATCCAGCAGTATCCCCAAACCCCTTCACTGCCTCGCCCTCCGCCTCGCGGCCGAACACTCCACTAACGCCGCCGCACGCGCTCCACTCCCCTCCCCAGACCTCGTCCCCGCCCTCGTCGACAACTCCCGCCGCCACTTCGTCCTTGCCTCCGACAACGTTCTCGCCGCCGCCGCCGTCGCCGCCTCCCTCGTCCACCATGCACTCCGCCCCTCCTCCGTAGTCCTCCACATCATCACTGATCGCAAGACCTACGCGCCCATGCAGGCATGGTTCGCGCTCCACCCGCTTGCACCCGCCGTCGTGGAAGTGCGGGGGCTCCACCACTTTGACTGGTTCGCCAGGGGGAGAGTTCCAGTGCTGGAGGTTATGGAGAGAGATCGAGAGATGAGGTCTCAGTTTCGCGGCGGCTCCGCTGCGATAGCGGCGAGTGACGGGGAGAAGCCGGTGGTGGTGGCGGCGAAGCTTCAGGCGCTGAGTCCGAAGTATCATTCGATTATGAATCATGTGCGGATTTACCTGCCGGAGGTACGTAAATGGGCTGGTTACCGTTACGTACGATTTATTGGGCCTTTTGAGAATTTTTCTGTTAGATTACAGATTTTTTGAAAAAAAATAATATTCATATAATCATGAGGGGTAAATTTTAAAATTTTTGAATTTATTTTCACATACTTATAATATAAATTATTTATATATAATACTGATATTAAAATAGTTCAAATATTTTAAATTTTATTCTAATAAAAATTAGATAAAAATATCTTTACCAAATATATATTTTTTTTATCAAAGTTTAATCAGATTTGTACATTGAGAATGCTTAAAAAAAAAGATAAGACTTTTTTGGGACGGCTTTTTTACTCCTTAAAGCAGTTTTTAAGTACAAAAATTTTAACTTTTGTACTAAAAAATAATTTTAAGAAGCAGTAAAAAAGCCGTCTCAAACAAAATTGAAAGCTTCATTTGAAACACAATTAAAGCCTAAATCAAAATATTGAGCTGAAAAGAGAAGAAGGTCAAAATATCAGATTTAAATTTTTAAGAGATTAATATTCAAATATTCAAATGTATTAATTTTTCTATCATATTTATCATGCTTGTTATATAAAATATTGAATTATATATTTGATAATAAATATATTTTTTTAATTTAAATATATTTGTAATTAAAGATTATATCATCTCAGATTATTTAGATATAATATAAATATTATATTTCAATATTTTAAACTGATTAAAATTGAGTTAGAGATTCTAAACCAATTAATTGTTTACTACTAAATTTTGAACTGCAATTCATCTTTTAGTAGCATGACTAAATATTTAATATTAATTAATTTCTTAAAGTATGATCAATGAGTTATTTTGGGAGTATTATGAGGACCCAAAGCACACTTATGCTTCCATATTATAAGCATTTCTACCAAAAATATTATATGTAGTTCTTAATTGAGCAGTAATGCTGATACTGAAATAATGTTAATTGTTTTCTCTCTCATGTTTGCAACAAGGCAGTTATTTCCAAGCCTCAAGAAGTTAGTATTTCTTGATGATGATATAATAGTCCAAGCTGATCTTTCACCTCTTTGGGAGATCGATCTCCAAGGTAAAGTTAATGGCGCAGTTGAGACTTGCAGAGGTGAAGACAAGTTTGTAATGTCCAAGAAGCTAAAAAATTATCTGAACTTCTCCCACCCTTTGATCTCAAAGACATTCAATCCTGAAGAATGTGCTTGGGCTTATGGCATGAACATCTTCGACCTCGACGCCTGGAGGAAAACAAACATCAAAGACACATATCATGAATGGATTCAGAAGGTATATTCAACTTCTCCTGATGAATCTCAAAGTTCTTGGATTTTTTTTTTATATGCTCACTATTACCTCTTGTTTTGTTGTTAGAACTTGGAATTAGATTTGAGCTTGTGGCAATTAGGAACTCTGCCTCCAGGTCTTATAGCATTTCATGGCCATGTTCATATAATAGATCCTTACTGGCACAAGCTGGGGCTTGGATACCAGGAGAATACGACGCGAGATGATGCCGAGAAAGCTGCTGTCATCCATTTTAATGGCAGGGCCAAGCCTTGGCTGGAAATTGCATTTCCTCAGCTCCGGCCTCTATGGACAAAGTACATTGATTTCTCTGACAAATTTCTTAAAGCTTGTAATATAAGGCCTTAGTTACAGAAGTGCACATAGCATTGCTATTAATGATGATGTTCATTATATGAGGGAGGGTGGGGAGGGATAAGAACAAAATGCTCATTTTGATGAAGGAAGATGAAGGAGATAATTATGAAAGAGAGTTGCTTGTTCATGGGTTGAGATGGAAGATGAGCTTAGAGTGGGTCTTGTCTTTGTGAATTTCTGGCACTTGAGTGCAAAGTTTAGATCTTTTGTTAGCTCTTTTTTTTTCCCCCTCATCAATTTTCTTAGTTTAGAGAACACTTTATTACTCTGGAAGATGATTCTTTGATGGATTCATAGCAATGCAATTTACATAAATCTGCAGAAGAATGAACGAGAAATTTAACAAATGTTTTTCCTTTGCTGCTTCTTATGAACTCAATCTGTAGAGTGTAAAATAAGTGCTCCTGAGGCAGCGAAAAACATAGCCAAAAATTGATTTACGAGACATTTCATGTTCTGCCCGTTGCTCCTAATCTTGGACAATTCTTCTACCTACTTAGGTTTTATGAGTTTTTTTAATAAAAATTTGTTATTTTTTACTAAAAAGTTATTTTAAAAAGAGTAAAAAAGTCATCCTAAATAAAATCTTCGAATATTTATAATCATGGTCTATGGATTTATGAAAAGGCTGTAAACGAGCAATTTATCAAGCATAAGATACTCGATCTTCATGAAGATTGGTAAACTTCATAAGGAAAGGAACATACTTATAAAATAACTTCGGCTTCATTTGGGATGGCTTGATTACTATTTCTTAAAGTAATTTTTTAGTACAAAATTAATTTTTTGTACTAGAGAATTGCTTTAAGAAACAATACGGATGTCGTACCAAATGAAACCTTAAATTATGCCTCATTCCATTTTCCTTTTTTTTTTTAAACAGTTTATGAAGAATAAGAAAAATATTAGTACGGTCCTAAAAATAGTTTCTTATTTTGTCTCAGTTGTTGGTTATGGAGTAGTTGTCTGAGTATTTACTTCTCTTATTATCGATTGTCAGCCTATTTTTTGTTGAATATGAATGGTTTTCTTATTTAGGCATATAAAGTGGATTTATTTGGAAAGGAGGTTAATCCATTGCATCAAATAAGTCTTTAAGGCATCTTAGTTAACACTCAGTTTGTTGGAATAAGATCAAAATTTACCCATCGATGTTTAGCTTGATTTGTGGGCGAGTACAGTTGGGAACCCCCAACCGTCCTCGAGTCCCTTCGAGCAGCAGCGCCTTTTAAGTGGGACCCAATCAAGTGCGGGCTAGGAAGTTTTTGGGTTCGGTGCCTTTTCTAAGTCAAGCGTTCTTTCGAGGATGGTAGAGAATGGATCCCCCGTTCAAAAAAAAAAAAAAAAAAAATCAAATTTTAAATTCTTAAGAAATTGGTCACCCAATAACAAATTTCAGTGTATTTTGAAAGGCACTCCTCATATCCTTGGTCCCAACCAATTTAAAATGATCGATTAATATAGCCGGTCATATTGATCCACGTTGTTGGTTTTATTGCCCAATTAAATTCTTTTGTCAACATGATCAAACACCTACTTACTCCCTAAATAAAATGAAAACTCTTTCTTCTCAATATTTGATATAATCATAAGATATGCAGCTAAAATTTATTGTTGATTGAAGTAATATTTGCAAAATTAAAAGAATTGACAATGTCTACAGCCTTGAGCTCATCTTGCATGCATTAAATCCAAGGAGATCTCATTCATGGATGGTCGTCTAGAATATCCGGAGCCCCCAGTAAATTGTTCTATTGACTGATAATCATAGTTAGTTCCACCCGGAGACGTCGATGATTCAGAAGACACACTTGTTGGGTTTTCCCCTGTAAAGTATCCTGGTAGTGATGGAACCAGAAGCGTTTCAGTATTAGTACTTAACATGAGCACTACAGAAGCCATGCTTGGCCTCTCCATTGGCTCTGCTTGAATGCAGAGAAGCCCAATGTTGATGCACCTCAACACATCCTCCAGCTGATACTGACCACCAAGGCCTTGGTCTATGACTTCTTCTGCTTTTCCTTGATTCCAATGCTGCCAAACCTATGAAACAGCCAAAAAAAGATTATCATGAGTTTTAACTACAAATGCAGTCACATTGTAAGTAAATAGATAGAGGTTGGAGTTATTTGAAGTTGCTTACATATGTTTGAAGGTTCAAGGCATTTCCCAGCTCTATGAAACTCCCATTTCTCCTTCCTGTTATAATCTCCAGCACCACCATTCCGTAGCTGAAAACATCTGATTTTGTAGAGAACATGCCGCGCATTGCATATTCTGGAGCCATGTATCCACTGCATGCATTCAACCAGTGATGAAACATGAGGTCATTAACAGGGGCAGACCTAGCCTTAATTTTCAGAAGGGGGGTGGCAAACTTATAAGTAACTGCTGTTGCCTTGAATTTGGCTCGACTTTTCGGTACAAAAAATGGGTCAATAGTGACCAAACAATAGAGACAAAAGGAAAATGGTCGCTAAAAGATGATTAATCATTCAATTTTTATAAAATGTATGTTGAAGTTGTCTTGAATTTGGCTCGACCCCTATTTGTTCATAACGTTGATCGTCTTACGCTACACAGATATGTCGGGGGTCAAAGGGGGCAGCGCCCTCTGGTAGGGTTTGACCTTTTTGAAATTCAAATTAATAAATAAAATGATGAATTCTCTTTACTATTTCTCTTTGTATTTGGTTCATCGTTTCCTAACAATAACACCTCTACACAATGTGTTTAATATATATTAGGGTGCGATTGCCTAAAGACTATAGTATTTTAAAACTTTTATGGGGGCACTTGCCTAAAAATTCTTGTAATAACAGCTAAAAAATATATTGAGAGTGACAAATTACCTAAAAAATCATATAATAAAAAATTAAAAAATTTAAATTATATGATTTTTTAGGTGGGGGGGGGGGGTTTTTTTTTTGGGGGGGGGGGGGGGGGCAATTGCCTCCCTGGGCTTAAAGGGGATCTGTCCATGATCATTAATGTACCTAGTAAGAATGATTACGCATAATTTTGAACATTAATATGCTTACAATGTTCCAGCAATCTGTTTTGTGTTCCATTGGCTTTCATTGATGCCAACAAGCTTTGCAAGGCCAAAATCTGAAATCTTGGGGTTCATATCACCATCCAGCAAGATATTGTTTGCGTTAAGATCACGATGAATGATTCTTAGACGCGAATGGTTATGCAGATAAACAAGGCCTCGAGCAATTCCTTCTATGATTATTTGCCTCCTTTTCCAGTCTAACTGTGCTCGCCCCGCTGGATCTGTTTAGATCGACCAAGATTAGTTCATTTGGGATAATTTTTTTACCACTGTATAGAAAGCAATAAAAAAGCTATTTCAAACGACTCCTAAATCAGCTCACCATATAAGTGCTTGTCAAGGCTTGCATTGGGAAGATATTCATAGACAACTAGCTTCTCATCCTCTTGCATGCAACAGCCCAACAGCTTTACAAGATTTTTGTGTTGAAGTTGAGCAACCAAAGCTGCTTCATTCCTCAATTCCACCAGGCCTTGCCCATAAGTGTTGGAGAGCCTTTTCACCACTATTTGTCGCCCATCCCATAGCACCCCCTGGTGATAATATCAAATCAAGAAGTATAATTTCTTAACAAATGTGAACTGTAAATCAATTAAGGCTTCGTTTGGGACGGCTTTTTTATTTTTTTCTAAAACGGAGTTTTAGTACAAAAATAAAAAAATTTGTACTAAAACGGAGAAAGCAGTAAAAAAGCCGTCCCAAACGAAGCCTAAAATTAGGTTTGTTATGTTCCAATTAGAAAGCTTAACGGGTTGCTCGGCTATAAGTAGGAATTAGTAAATCTAGAAAATTGTTTGGCAAGTAAAACTTAGGTTTTATTTGGGACAACTTTCATGTTGCTTCCTAAAACGGCTTTTTAGTATAAAATTTTCTAATTCAAAAAATTTTTGCACTAAAAAAATGATTTAGAAAGCAACAAAAAAGTTGTCCCAAACGAAACCTTAGTAAACTTTGTAGCATATATTCTTAAAATTTAGGATTTAAATGAAGGAAAAGAAGCGGCACAGTGAGAAAAAATTATGTAAATCTCTTCAAACTCTTTTGACAAAATTTAACCCAACTCTTCATCAAGACTTTGCTTGGCACAATTTTATTATTGTTTTATAAAATTGTTGTAGAAAAAATAACTTTTTTAAAGCTATTATAGAAAGCAAATATCTATTGCAAATTTTTTTTTGAAAGCAACAAAAAAGCAACAACCAAATAAAAATAATGGTAGCAATCTGAAATTCATAGCAATAAAAAAGTTGTCCCAAATCAAATCTAAGGTTTCATTTGAGACAACTTTCTTAATATTTCTTATAGCAGCTTTTTAGTACAAATAATACATTTTTTGTATTAAAAAGCTGATTTAGGAAGCAAAAAGAAAACCATCCCAAATGAGGCCTGAGGCCTGAGGCTTCATTTGGAATAAACTTTTGACCAATATTTTTCACAACTTTCAAAAAAAATTTGTGCTTATAAAAAGACACTTTAGAAAACAATAAAAAAACTATATCAAATAAAACCTAAATCTTTCAACCGCTATTTTTTTGTTTTTAATTTTTCAATCATAGACGAAATTTAATATTATCAGGCTCTCAGCTGACATGACATAATGGACGCCAATCTTACCTTATAAACAGGTCCAAATCTCCCTTCTCCGAGCTTATTTTCATTGGAAAAGTCGTTTGTTGCAGCTTTAAGTTTTACAAAAGGAAGTAGATGAGATTCAGTTGTCTTTATATCCTCTTCCACATAAAGCTCTAAGAAACAGCATCCACGAAAGGAAAAAATCTTTATCAATACACATTAATCAGCACAAATTTTAAGGATTCTACATTTCTACTCATTCGAAGAACAGGAAATTAAACTTACTGGATGATTTTCGCTTTGCAAATCTGCTTCGGCAGATGAGCAAAATGCAAACGACAATGATTGCTGATAAAATGGATGCACTGATTGACACTGCAATAATTATTTTCTTTGTTTGGCTACCTCTGCTTGTACCTACTTGCAAATCCTTCATCAGAACAGCAAACAAACCAAACTGGCAAATACTTTTTTTTTGTTAAAAATAGAAATATTTTTTTTAACGTTACTTATTAGGCTCAGATCTTTTATTATTAATGAATTTGGAGAGAAACATTAGGGCATCTCCACCGTAACTCCAAATACTTAAATGCCGTCGCCTCCGAGCTCCAGCCGAACGCTGAAACTTTCGCTATTTTCATGCGGGTGAACAGTAGGACGCCAATATTGGCGTTGAACTGTTCATCATCACCATTTTTCTCGGTCTACTGAACTTGAAAAGAAGCGCGCGAAAGAAAAAAAAGATCTTTACCTTCTCAAAATGAAGTTCCATTAAAGATGAATCGCCGCATTTTTAAGTTTCACAACATCATGGAGTGAAAAATGAGATTTTCCCTTGGAGATGATCTTAGAGCTACATCGCTTAGTTTATAGTTTAATTTGTCTTTTAGCTGACTAAGACCAGCTCAAAAGAAACCGCGACGCACAAACTGACAGAAGGTTGTTTGGAAGAATCGTTTGACAAAACTTACGGTATCTACGAAAAAAATATTAAGCCAGATATTCTAATTAAAATTTTAATTTTTAATTTATATTGAGAATATCATAACGTTATTTTATAATTTTGTATTAAGGTATCTATTGTATTAATCCTGTTTGAGTTTATTTGAATTTTTATTTGATTATTATTCTCTAATAAATAAATAACATATATATTTTTCTAATTTTAAATAATATGAGAAATATAAAGTTAAATACTACTTTTTACAAGGCTTTATTCAAAATTCAAAGCTCCATTAATATTTTTCAACTTTTTAAGCTAGAATTTTTTTTTTTTAAGTTTTAGAAATTTGAATCGCTTTGCTATGATTTAAAATATTCATTTTAATTTAGTTAATTTAAAATTAATTTTACTTATTTCTGTTAGGGAGACGAGTTATAATGATGATTTAATGAAATTTAAATTAATTTAAACAAAAATTGATTGGAAAATTATAAATAAAAAATATAAATATTTATTCATATTTCAATAATATATAAGACGCAGCTATATTAACTATTAAAAATAAAAAAACATTTCAATATTTTTAAAGGGGAAAAAAAGACCTAATCGCCGGATATCTCTTACCGGTTCCACCAGGAGTTGCAGCCATGGAACGAGCTTGAATCAGCGAGAGGTTGAAGAAGGGATAATTATTGTAAGTTACAATGCAGTTCGAAGCTATGGATCCTCCCCCGAGCCCGTAATCATAATGATGCCCCGCGTAAAGATCGTATGCCTGACGCAAACACTCGTGACAAGTCTGCGGGTCTAAATCCATCGTGCACCACGCCAGCCCATATATCTGCTCATACGGACTGTTCGTCTTCCCCACCGCAATCCTCAAGTCACTACTTTTCGCCTCCAGCCACAGCTCCTCCATCAAATCCCTCAGTTGCCGGCTGTATTCCACCGGTGCCGTACCGTTTTCGATTCGAACGATGGTCTTGAAATTTAGATTCTCCAGCAACGAATAGAAGCTATGGTCTTCGTAGCGAAGAACGCAGTATTCGTTGCGCACCGCAGTGGACTTCTGCCCCGCGCATGTGCCGTGAAGGGCCTGTAAAGCAGATCTGGTGAGGCAGTCGGAGCAGACGACAAGGGGCGCGTCGGGGCGGCACTGAGCGAGGCCGAAGACAGTCTGGGTTTCCGTTGAGCCAGCGGAGTCTTCGAAGAAGAGATTTTCGGTTTTGGGAGTGTTGGAGATGAGGCGGTTGAGGAGGAGGTGGAGGTTGCTGGCATAGGGGCTTGGGTCGGTGTAGTTTCCGCCGGAGACGCAGGAGGTTAATAAGGGGTCGGCGGCGATGATCGGAGATGGTGCGCAGAAAAGAAAGGAGATTATTAAGGAAAGGAAGAGGATGAGGGTAGTGGAGGGAGGTGTCATGACTGTGGCTGCCATGCCGGGGATGTTGAAATGGTTTTGTGGTTTTATAGTTGTTTGGATATTATGAGGGAGTAAAAGGAATGGCGATGCCTTCTGTTTTAATCAGAGTAGGTTGATTTGTTCTTGCGGGAATACTTGAGCTCGGTGGAGGAGGATCCATGATCTGTTGGGTAATAATATTCTAAATATTGTTGAAGATGATGATTCCAAGTAAATTATAGGGCAGCTTAAAATGGAACAAGTTTTAAGGATGAGCACTATTAATATTTAAATTAGCTGCAAGAACAAGATACAAAAATAATTTAGAAAGGAATATATTATTCAAATAGTTTGCGTTTTCAGAATGCGTCAAATTGATTGATGCATTCTATTGAATACACCAAACTGGTTGGTATATTCTATAGAATGCATCAAATGGTTTGATGTATTATGAAAATATCAAATTAGTTGGTGTATTCTAAAGACTGTTACCTTTGTTAATTTTCATTAGAGTTCATGCAAAATTTTACACTAAGCATCATTAGCATAATAATTAGCTGATTAAGCACGCACACAAAAAAATTCAAACCAGGAAAAATCACCCATTTAGGGGAACGGGCGAGTTGCTCATTAAATTTTTTTTAAATCATATATATATTCTGAATTTGTAAATTCATATATATTTATAGATTTGGTGAATTTTTTTGAACAATCAAAATGTCATTACTGCCTTTTTTTATTTTGGAATATTTATAAGTTTTACATAAATTAGTAATTTAATTAGGTGTAAGAATTTTAAACTTATATCTTGACATAAATTTTGAAATTGCTTATTCTATTGAATGTACCAAACAGTTTAACTAGTTTGCTCTTTTATAAATTATTTTTGTATTATGCTCATAGATCTAATTTAAACATTAATAGTGCTCCTTCGTAAAACTTGTTCCTTAAAATGTTGTGCAATAAATTAGAAGGCTTAGTTTATATAAAGTCATAAGAATTATTTTATAAATTATGATCACAGGAATATTGTTTATTTGTGATTGATGATTGTGATGTATTGAAAATAGTAGTATTTGGTGATATGATTTAGTTTAGTAGAATTCCAAATTGAATAATTCAAGTTGGTTTACTCTATTGAGGATAAATTGCCATCTTCAATGAAGAGTTGATGAAAATAGCTATCCATATTATAGTTATTGATCATATTTAAAGTGATTCGACTAGTCAAACCCGAGTTAATTGTAGAAAAAGTAATAAAATATCACAAGAGGGTAAAACAAGATAAATAAGATAACAAGCTCTCAATTATACTTTCTTTTGTAGAGTTCAATATCTCAACAAGTGTATGTTTTTCAAGATCATCTCTTTCCATAAGGTCTCAAAAAGGAGGAAAATTAGCAATGCATGTCCTATAGACATGAGAGCACAATAGTGGATGAACATGTTAGTTAGTGGGGAGATTGATTCTAGTGGTGTGAAGCATTGTGGTCTACATAGAATACAAAGAGATAATTAATGATAACTTAATGGGGTTGGATGGCTTGATTTACAAAGGATATGATGATGGATCAATATTAGGGGAAATCTAATGATTGCATTCATAAGAGGGCTTGTACTTACTATGGAGAGCAAAGATGGGTCAACAAGATTATGGTAGAATTCATCTTAATGTGACACAAGATCTTCAAAGTACATGTTGAATGACGAACATAAACATTATTATTCAAGCGGTTGCCATTATTCAAACACAAAGTTAGGATAACTGACAGCGTTCCTTTGTCAACTTAGAATTCTATAGGTACTCAAATGCTAGACCTCTTTTAGAAAATGAGCATTGATCCATCAAATACCAATACAGGAAAATTAGGGATTACCGACGGTCGTATAACCGCTGAAATTATCGGTGATTTTTAATAATACACGTCGGAATTAGCAGCGGTATAATAATCCCCGATTAGGCCACCAGTTTTCTGTTTTTACGGCGCCTTTACCGGTGGCTAAGTCGTCGGTGTTAAGTAGTTTTTTCCTGCGGACAAAACCGTCGGAAATTGCCCTAATATTGGCCAAACTGAGCCTTCCTCTTTATTTCTTCACGTATCTGTTTTCGCAGAAGCTCGCTCGTGATCGCGCTTGGCCGCCGACACCCTCTCTTCGGCCGCCGACACTCTCTCTCTGGCCGACGATCTCGCCCTCACTCTGGTCGTCGATCACGCCCACATTCTATCATCGAAAGCCATCGATCGGCAACGCACCGAATGGAAGGTTTGCATTTTTTTTTTCTTTTACTAATGTGTCATACTTTAAAACTGTGAGAGAGAGTTATGGAGCATAGATTGAGGTGTGATACCAAAGTTTAGCTAAATCAATTTGGATTCATGGATATTACTTGGTTCACTATCTTGTTGTTGATTGGATTGTTGAATCTATAGGTAGGCTTCAACATAACACTTCTTACTAATAGGTGGCTCCATGATTTTTGTTGGTGTAGTGTGGCTCCATGATTTTTTCATGATTTCTGATTTGTCCCCCTTAAATTCTAGTGTTTTTTCTTCACTGAACTTTATTTTTTTTACTTGTTTCATTGTATGATTATACGTCCCAACAACTGGTATTAAAGCCATATTCTTTGGCTTGAGTGAGAGTAATAGTTGACGAAATAAGGTACAAGATTAAGAAGTTCAATGGTTCAAACCAATTAATTCAAATTTTATTGGAATAAATTATTAAGATGTTAATTAAGTTCTTTCGTATCTTATGTTTGGCCATATGCATAAGAAAGGTATGCATTCACTTCTTAGTAGAGGAAGGCTTTCTAGTTTAAAATCTATAAATATATGGTGAGTTTTGAAAGATTAGTTTAAATGTGAAGTCAAAGAAGCTAGAGTTAGCATATACATATGTATGGGCTCATGTACCAGTTCTTTCTAAAGGAGGGTCTTCATATTTTATTACATTTATTAATGATGATAGTAGAACATTGTCGTATACTTCTAAAAACATAAGTTAGATTTGTTTGAAGTGTTTAAGCAATGGAAATTCAGGGTTAAAAATGAGATAGGTTTAAAGCTGAAGTGTCTTAGAAGGGATAATGATGACGAGTATCATGATAAGAAGTTTAGGATTTTAATGATTATAATGTAATGAAACATGGATTCATTATTCCAAGAATATCATGGCAGGATGGTGTTGTAGAGTGTATAGAGTTAAGAGCATGAGGATGCATGTTGCCCTACCCAAATAGTTCTTGGTAGAGGTAGTGAATACTGTTGTTAATTTGATCAATTATGGTCCATCAATTCTTCTAAATGAGAGTTTACCTGAGGAAGCTCAGAGTGGTAAGGAGGTAAGTTTATCTCACCTGAAAGTTTTTGATGTTTATATTAATGTAGGATCTAGGAGTAAGCTTGATCTAAAGTCTATCAAGTATACATTCATTGGATGTAGATTAGATAAATTTGGCTATAAATTCTAGGATTATCATAATCTTAAATTCATTAAGAATAGGGATTTCACATTCAATTAAAATGAAATGTATAAGGATAAAAATAAGATTGATTTAGAAGATTCTTCTGAGCATATTGAGATAAAGGATGGTGATGATCAGGAATACAAAGACAGGAGGTGTGCTTAAGATGTTGAAGCATATAGAGTTTTTTAGACACTTATTATTGAAGTAAGGAGATCAATTAGAATCACATGACTAATATAAATAAATTCTTCTTCTTTATGTTATCTATGACTGAGAGATGGAGGTGAACATGGTGTTATAATAAGGCCATTTAAGTTAATGATTCAAAGATTTAAATTTTCTTTCCTTTCCCTTCTTAAAAAAAAACCAAAAAAGTTAATGATTCAAAGAAGTGGGAACAAGTCATGGATGGTGAGATCCATTCAATTAAGTTGAATCAAACTTGGGAGTTGTTGACCTCGATTTTGTCAAACCATGGGCATGAGGGACTAGGTTGACCAGGTCAACTTTTGTCCCCTTTTTAAAAAAAAAAAAAAAAAGTTAATGATTCAAAGAAGTGGGAACAAGCCATTGATGGTGAGATCCATTCAATTAAGTTGAATCAAACCTGAGAGTTAGCTGGGCTACCAAAGGCAAGAAAATACTATAGAATAAATGAGTTTACTGGCTAAAAGAAAAATCGGTGGTATCCAATGCTATAAGAATACACTTGTAGTTAAAGGTTTTCAGTAATAGGAAGGAGTGAACTACACTAAAATTTTCTCTAATGATAAAAATGACTATAGTCAAAGTTATGTCGAGCATAGTAGCTTTGCATCTCGAATAGATGAATGTAAGGGTAGCATTTCTTCATGGTTACCCACAAAAAGAGTAGTACAGTGTGCAATCTCAGAGATATATGATTACATGTAAAGAATATTTGGTGTGTATGCTCAAAATGAGTCTATATGGGCTAAAGTAGACACCAAGACAATGGTACAAAAGATTTAAAAGGTTTATGTTATATAAGGGATACATGAAGTGCCAATAAAATCACTATTTTTATTTCAAAAATTTTGGTAATTTTATATATTGCCACTCTTGTATGTGGATGAGATGCTAATTATAGGATCAAATATGGATAAAATAAATGGCTGAAAGAGCATCTATTAAGAGAATTTGAAAGGAAATATTAAGGTTAAATTAAGAAAATTGGCTTATGAGTATTAATAGAAATAGAAGCACATATATACTGAAGTTCACTTAGGTTAAGTATGTTGAAAAGTGCTATAAAGATTTAACATGAGTGAGGCAAAGCAATTTTTGAATCCCTTAGATAATCACTTTCAACTATCTAAGGAACAATCGCCTAGATCTGAAGCAAATTAAGAAATATAGCCTAGTATGCTTTAGTAGTTGGATGTTTGACATATGCTACAATCCGTACAAGGCCAGATATAATAGATGTAGTGGGAGTAGTGAGCAGATTCATGAGCAACCCATACAACCTTCATTTGGAGGTGATTAAGTAGATTCTCAGGTACTTTAGATTATCAGTTGACAAAGCTCTTTGCTTTGGACATATATGGAATAAACTATAGGGATATTT